CGAGGATCAGGCTGTTTGCATTACAAGCAGGTACCTACTAAAATGACCATTGAATGTGTATAAAGAAAGTATGGACGTAAGTAAATGATGGTACTCTTAAAACAGCTAACAAATTACTTGGCTGTGTTTCTATGGAGATAATTCATCATGGTACAAAAGGAGAATTTAATATAGCTTTATAATAAGTAATGAAATTTTCATTTAGAATTTTGTTACTGACATTTAAGAAGCATAATAAAAGGATGTCATAAAAATTCAGTAACGACATAGTTGGACCGTGGACAGCAGCACTGACAGCGACATCAAAAAGGTATTGACAATTTGTAGAGCGTATAAGATTTACTCTTTGTAGCACAATAATGTCACCCAGGGATGTCACACAGCAGATTTTATTGGAATGGCAGCTGTTCACTGCATGTGTAACAAACTTTTCCTTATGTCACGAGTTGCGATACGTTAGACGTGATGGGATGCGTTTGGGCGAACATAAAAGGGGCTTATTGAACCGAGTAGGACCGGGGAAACGAATGAGACTGCGAGGTGTCAAAACAAGAAGGTGAGTACGGGTAAGGACACAAGCAGACAATAGGAGCAACGTCAATGACTAGACTGGGGATCATGAGATGAACAGGAACTTAGATACAAAGGCTAATGAGGGGTAACAAGCAACAGGTGTGACTCATCAGGGCCTCGTTAGGGAGGAGACAGGAGGGCAAGGCGGGCAGCACATACTCAGGATGTTGTCTGATGACTGAAAATAAATTGAATAAAATTTGTTGCCAGTGTACTGCTGCAACAATGGTGATGTTTTAAATTAGGGGTTGTTACTTATAACTAAAGTCAAAATAATAATAATAGTGTAATGTCATGTCAACCCTGCTATGAACGAATGGTCAGTAAATACAAGCCATCCAGAACACTGGCAGATGGGTCGTAGCCCTAAATCTCCTTGTCTTCCCCTTGCGTACCACCAGAAGCTCACGGTAAGTTCATGACATTGACACTAGCATAGAAAGCACCCAAGGGAATATCAGCATCAAGGCTCCTCAAAGCCATCGTGATGGTCCTCCATATCGGATATGTGATTAGAAATCAAAGCCTTTGTCCAGCCTTGGGTGTTGGTTTGATCTTCAATAACTGCCTCCTTCTGCTTCAGCCTTTTAACTTCTGGTTGAACTCCAGTTTTCAGAGCCTGCAGGTAGTTGGGATTAAGTGACCCCATCACTGTGCATTCACAACCATTCCTCCTATGTATTCACATTTCTGTCTCACTGTTTCATCACCCTACTGCCTGGACTTCTGTGTGAATGTGTTATAAGACAGTAGCTAACAGTTTTCTGTTATGTATCTTAAATGACTGTACTGCCATATTATGGAGTAACATTTTAGCAAGTGAATCTCTACAAGACATATTACAGTTGACAACTGATTATATGCTTGTGCTAATGCTCTTTGTCATTGCTCACTTAAGAATGTGTATGTTAATGGAAATAGCTAATGGGCCAGAAGTGAATTGTACATTGTGTATTGTGTATATATACATGACATAATACATTTAAGTCATGTGCTTGAATGGAAGGTCAAGCTGCTAAAAGCTCTTCTTGTTGCTGACCTTATTTTGTGGGATATTTGAAATGTCCTTAGCCAGTCTCAAGTCCAGATCAATACTGTGCCAGGCCATCATGAAGATGAAACAGAAATCGAATCCACCATGCAACCTAGCAACAGTGCTAGGTTTCGGTGCAGTAGCCGCAATGAGGCGTGTGTTTCTCTGCAGACCATAAAGTGCATTTTTAAATGATGCTTAATGATCAGTGACCTCAGGGATGACATTCTCTATAATGGGAGCGAAATTAAAAATCCCGTCAGTTGTCTCGTGTGAATCTGTTTTACTTCCCACGGTGGGTATAAAGTGAGGATAAGTGCTAAGCAAATGTAGCCTTTTGGGAATCCTTCTGCTCTTCATTACTAACCAAGGGCAAACCTCCCCACACCCCCCACATACTCAAATGCATCATTAACATAAAAACAATTAAGCTGTGTTACATGTCCACACTGACGCAAAGGATGCTTCTCACGCGGCCTATAAGTAGATCGAGTGCATAGTGCTGTTCTCGCAAAATTTCCCTCTGCTTGAAAGAACTGTGATTGAGGGTTACTGCCTGTATGAGCTGAAATTCTCGCTGCTCACATATTGAGATGGGTGGTAGGGAACGAGGTTTCAAGTCCACCATCGAGGTGGCAGCTGCAATCGACTCGTGACTGTACCTCTCAGTCAGAGCTCAATACCGGAATTCACGTTTGTGTGGCCAACTTCAAGATATGGATTATTTCGAGGTGGTCATTATCCACCTGGCCTGCTTCCATTTTGAATATTCCCCATTAAACATATTTCCAGGTAGCCACCTGCAAGCTATTCCCCTGTAGTTTAGAGATGTCAGTTTAGCAAACTGTAGGCTTTTAACTGCAGAAAGATACTAGGGTACCTAGAGGAAACCCACTGGACACTGGAAGGAAAAGCAATATTCACACGCACAGAGCAGGGGGGATTTGGAGTTTGAGTTCCCTGTCAGGGAGGTGTGACCCCCAGAGCCACCAATAAACCGGTTTAGCGGGTTGGGAAGCTATACCTGTGATCGGGAGATCAGCAGCTCAAATCCCAAGGTCAAGAGTGATTTCCAGATTGGGAACAAAACCTTCATGCCCAGTTACTCCAGGGACTGTCTGACCCTACTTTTTGAATTGGATATTGCGTTGGATGCTAAATAAATCAAATTCAATATGAAAGATCAATATGCAGGGCCGCTTGCAAAATACAGTGTGTTGGAAACATGTTAGACAGCCATCCAGCAACTGGGTCTCGTCTAAACAGATGTAACATGGCCCAGTTGATGAATTTGCCACTTTGCAAGGTACAGTAAGCTACCAAGGACTAAAGGCCGATGAGGTATTTTCCATGACCCTGACTACCTGCAACTCTTCGAAGAGTTGGGAGGTGGGGGTCATAGTCACAGATTACTGAACTGGCTGGTTAAAATAAAATCTTGGTCTAGATTTTTACTTGGACTCAAACTATCCACTTTTGTTTTTTATTCCAAATGCATGGAAGCTAAGGAGCGACTGACGCTCAGGGAGATGCATACTTCCCGGAGAGAAGGGGCATCCATGATAGCCTGTTTCTCAAGGGATTGGATACAGTGGGAGCCACAGTGGGGAGGGGGAGGGGGGGGGGATCTATCAGGATGACAGCTGCCAGCCCGTCGCTCGTGGTGATGCTTGACCTCCCGACAAACCGGAGCCGACAGCTCAGCAGACGTCGGTAAGAGGGATTGCTGACTTTCTGCATGGCTGCCGGAAGCCGGAGGCAGGAAGAGTCACCTGGAGCCTTTCTGAGCATGTTAGGGCTGTGACACACACCTTTGTCACCTGTATTTAAATACATCAATATAAAGTAAGAGATGGTAACAAAGCGGTACAACTGTGGCTTGACACCTCCAGGGCAGTCGTGTGTGTGGAGTTTGCATGTTTTCCTCATATTTGTACCTGTAGATTTTCCGTTTTTTTTTTAGCACACAGTCTGAAGATGTGCAGCAGGTATGGTCTTCAAATTTCACAGCTAAAATGGGATTCGCAACAAAGGCCTCATCTAATACCAGTGTCTACTGTATTTCTTTCTGGTTATAACAAAACCTATTGTGCCGTTTTATTTCTTCCGCTCTGATTTATTGATAGTTATCAGATTTCATTCATTATGTTGAGCATTCAATTAATGTCAGCTAATTCCAGGCATGACAGGAAGGGGAGAATCTTTTTGTTCCTTTATTGTTTATCCTGGTCAAGTTTGCATGGGAACTAAGAAGATGATATATAATCTAGGATTGACATAACCAGTACGCAAGTACTCATTCGCCGTACGAAGTGATACAGAAACTTATTTTATGTGCATCTGCACTGGTAATGCAAGAAACTGCCTCCCGTTTTAACGTTTATGCAACTAATTCGTACTTCATTTGGAGTACGCGAGTTATGAATGTAATTCCTTATCATAACATTGCAAATGCACGTAAAATAAACATTGCCGTGCGTTTCGCTCTATGCAGCAAATGTCTGCATTAAATGTTCCCTGAATATAATCGTCCCCGAACCGCATTCCACCTGAATACCTTTTTTTTAAAGTCAGCTCTTTTAAAATTGTTTTGTATTATTGCGGTACTTTGCTTGTAATTTGTATGGACATTTTGGAATGAAAGAAGTGTGGGTCTTGAATTTACAGAAGTCAGATTCAGATATTGACAGTATTTGCATTAAAGAAATACTGTTCAGAACAGATCGCCGCTCTTCCGTTTAGGTGAGTCATTGAAGTGAAGGAAGAAAATTAAGGTATCAGTCATTTTAAAGAGGCAGAAAGCCTTTCAACTTTTGTGAATATTAGAATAAGAAAAATTAACTTTTTTTGTGCTCCAGCTTAAAGGTCTATTTTCCCTCCATTAAATGTAGCTCAGCCCTCTTTAAAGTTGAAGAATATGCCATATAAAAATGAATCAGGACATATTCCAGGCTTCTTATTGCCATTTTGTTTCTGCCTTGTATCTCATTAGAACCACATCTGTTGCCAGGGGAAACATACTCACAACACCCCCCCCCATGTGGACTCAACACACATGTGGACTCTTTGAAAGGCACATTCCCATTAAAATCACATTGCCAATACAAGCACAAACATTCTGGACTAATGCATTATGCTTATTGGTTATGACTTCAATACCAAAAGCCACTACTCGGAAACATGGCTAAAGAACTGCAGTTATGTAAGTTGACACATAGGATAAGGATTCCACAGCGTGAAATTTGCCCTTTGGCTCGCAAAATAACCAAAATGCGGATCCCTTTTTGCCCAATATATTTTCATGATTTTCAAGACAATGTGCACCATGTCATATAACATGTAGTTCATTTATTCAATATTTACAACAGTGTTACAAAAAATATATATGCTTATAATATCAGTGAAGTACATTCACTTACAATATTGGAAATAGAAATCTTTACTTGAAGTGGTCAGACCACACAAAGCACTATACACAAACAAATGAGTGATGTCAGAAACATTGACAGCAATGCAGCCTGAAACATAATGGCATCATATTATTTTCAATTGAATGTGTATTTCCCTTGTCCACTGTACATTTACGTAGCTACAGATATCTTCACAAAACAAGCATATTATTTATATATAAGAAGAAACATATGGTTTTGATACAATTAAAACCTTGAGGTTAAGCATAAATAAAAATATGGTTGTACCAACAGACCAAACAGGCTATTTCTGTCTGGTCAGTTTTATTTTCTGTTTCCAGCAAGATGAACCACGTATCTTAAAATCTTGCAACGTGTGACTCAGATTATTTTTGGCCTCAAACTTTTTTTGGTCCCGAAGTCATGAAACCAACCAAACAACTAACCAGTCAGTCAGTCAGTCAATCAATCCAATCAATCAACCAATCACTCACCAAGCATCAGCATAATGTAATCAATCAACCAATCAGGAAAAGGCAGATATGAAATTCAATTTCTGTACATCTCAAAGTCGGCATTCAATACTTGAATTATCATTTTAGGCACACTGCATTATCAAATGAACAAGTCTTTCACACAGAATGAACACTAGTTAGACTAATTTCTCAATTTTTAGTTAAATTTCAGTTAAAGTGAGAACAGTGTATATCTTTTTGCGGGGTGTGGGGTGGGTGGGTTTGAGGACTAGATTATGATCACTTCTCATCCAGATTCGCACTAAATGTGCCGCTTTTCTTTTCCCATCAAGAAACTCGCAGCGACTAAATCCCCTTCACCAGTGGTAAATGCTGGAGGCAGTGGGAAATGATGGAAGGCTTTTTCATGAAAGCCTTGTGTATGCTAGAATGTGCTTCATCCCCAGATACAACCCCCCACCCCATCACTGTCTATTTGAAATGTACACTAAAATGAGAATGGAATATGCAGGATGAACAGAAATCCTCTTAGTACAGTACTGTTAATTATACAGTTGTGCATGTTACATTCTTTTGAGTCGGAACAGCTAGATCTTTCGTGTTAGTCCTTTTGCCTTTGTTTGTTTTCCGGTGCTGCAACAGTGTCCCTAATGTCACGTCCTGCACTGCAACCACGAAACCTGCATTTCTGAGGAACCCCAAGATCACGCAAATCCTGCATATCTGTGGTTTGTGGCATTTTAGTGTGTTAAGGTCTGCAGACTGGGTCCCTGGTACTCAGTGTGAGTGGTTGTCAAGGTTAGTGCTGCACACTGGCAACCTGTGTTCCAGTGCACCACAGTGAGCCACAGTGCACCCTGGTAGGATTCAGGCCAAAAGCCTGAACTGCACCCTCAATCAATCTTTCAGCCGTGAAATCAACTCCTTTCCAGCCCCGATTAGCATCATCGCAGAATCTGATTCGATTACTTGCCCTTTTCTGCATGCTTCTTTTTTTCTTGCATAACAAAGCAACCTTGGTCTTGTCATTTTTATACCGTTCACGGCGCCTTTAATAAAAAGCGTGAAGCATGTTCATTTGAATATGATGGACAAACATCATCAAAACATCATTTTATAACTTGAATCAATATATGGTAATAGAAGATTCAGTAGATTCATTCTCTCCCACACCATTCATAATCATTTTGTGTGTATTCATTTTACTAAAACAAGCAACAGAAATATATCACACACAAATTGCTGAGAATTCCTTGGAATTACCAGTAAAACATGCATTTAAAAATTTTTGTCATGGGCTTCAATTGTTTTTTTACTTTCCATATTTACACATTTCAAACAATTTCGTCATCGTGCAGAGTGACACGAGAGCCGTTGTGAAAGATGACCTCACACAAACCCGTGTTACATGCTTGAGGTGACTTTTAATATGTTTATTATGATTGCAAGTCTTAGTGAAGATGAACAATTGATTCAGCTGAAGCAGTGCCTTGTGGGTATTCCCAGCATATGTGCCCATCTTTTTGTGCTCTTTCTATCTATTTCTCACCAAAATATATAGATTTTTTTAATACTGTATGTAATAATGAACTTAAACTGACAATCTTGAAAACAGCCCCAGAAACCCATCCAACCAGAACCACTGCGATCACCAATTCTGCATCCTCAAGACTCAAGACTGTGGCAGTTGTGCTTTTCAGACCTTTCGTCTTGTGACATCATCATGCCAGCGAGGGACTCGATGGCCCCTGAGATGGAAACCCCCCCCAGAGCCTGTCTAACAGTCCCATTGCAGGGTGTCACCATTCTCTGACACATCAGTGTCCCGGACTGTTTTCAATCAACAGTGATATACAGAGCGCAGGTTCAAAGTTTATATCCATTTAATTTGCGATGACTGTGCGCCGTGACTCAGTCGCCTAATGACTCGCACCAACATCATCTTCCATCTGAGGCCGCAATGTAAGCGATGTGGATGGTGGCCAGTTCTGGCCTTCGTCCAGCCCCGCATCACGCGCTGCATTTCTTAACAGTGCAGTATCTTGATGAAGGCCTTCCTGAACTCAATGTTGAAGGTGGTGTAAATAATGGGGTTCACGGCGCTGTTCACGTAGCCCAGCCATGTGAAAGCGTTGTACATTTCCGCCGGGACCCGGCAGTGTGTGCAGTGGGTGTTTAAAATGTGCGTGATAAAAAAGGGCAGCCAGCATATAATAAACACACCTACAATAAAAGAGGAGAGTTAGGATGCAGCCATATGCAAACAAAATAACTATAGTACAACATTTGCAGAGGTGGAGATTTCAGGTCCAGAGAGTACAAATCCAGACCGGGATTTTGTTTCAACCAACCAGTTGAGTATAAAGAATCAGTCACAGAGTACTTAACTGGTTGGTTGAAACAAAATCTTGGTCTGGATTTGTACTCTCTGGACCTGAAATCTCCACCTCTGCTCCTTCACTATTGGCTTACATTGGTCACATGACCTTTTCAGGACTGAACATATGACCTCCACAAGGTGCTATTATGTATTGTAACTAAAGAAAACAAAGCATGTGAGAATAACTGTAATATTTTACTCCCATCATTTTTATATAGCTGCGTGTTCTATCTAGGGTTTCAGGGGTTGGGAGTCTATCCCAGAAGCTATGGACACAAGGTAAGGAATAACCCAGAGTGGGGTGCTAACCCACTGCCGGGATTGTCACTTGCACCATTCATAACTATGGACAGTTTGGCCCAATATTGCCTTAGCATGTTTTCTGGCTGTGGGGGGGGGGGGGGGGGGGGGGGGGCGGGTGTGGACTTGGGATTATTCAGAGGAAAGCCCACGACAAAATGGGGGGAACATGCAAGCTCCATACACATGGAGCAATAGCAGAGACTCAAACCCTGGTCCCAGCTAACCACTGCACCACCGTGCTGCCCCAGTTTAATATGTATTACTAAATTATTATGAGAAGACTCACCTAAGACGATGGCTAACATCTGTGTGGCCTTCTTCTCTTTTTGCTGCGAGATCTTCCTCTTGCTAAGGGACTTCACCGTGCTGCGAGTTTTCCCGCCAGGCAGCGCTTCTGTCTCGAAGGCTTTCGTGGCCTTGGGGACGAGGGCATCCTTGGTGTGGCCGTTCCTCTCGCCCTCGAGCCGGATCTCGGCCGGGGAGGGGGGCGCCGAGCCCTGCCGCTGGTTGGGGGCGGCGGGCATGCAGAGTTGCTGGGCGGCGGGCGCGGGCACAGTCCTCTTCTTTTCCATGGGGCTGGAGCTCGTCATCATGTCCATCTCCATGTCAGCGACCGGCTGGGCAGCCTCCTGTATCAGGATCTGCGGGAACGAGGCACCAGCAGAGGTCGTTAGTTCCGGTCCAACTCCAGACCTAGGTTTTGTTTCAACCGACCAGTTGAGTACTCTGTGACTGTGACTCTTTAAACTCAACTGGTTGGTTGAAACAAAACCCTGGCCTGGATTTATACTTTCTGGACTATCCACCTCTTGGCACCAGGCTCCCAGGCTGGGCTGAGATGTGTGGGAACTCTTTCGAGTTATTTGGAGGGAGCGGGCTAAGCATACGACTGGCTCACAGGAAATGCAGGATCACTGTGAGCTGTATAGAAATCAACATTTCTGCTTTCGCAAATGGTTTGGTGACGAAAATGAGATGGCTTAGGCTTTACCTCCGGCTCCCACTGGCTGCTAACAGCCACCGCAAATGACCCGTAAGCAGCAGGCTGACAGACAGCGTGGGGCGTTTCTGAAGCCATAATACGTGCCACACTGATGTTGATGGAATGTAGCATACAGAGTACCGGAATGCAATGCGCCCCAATAAACGTAACCCGGCAACGTGGTGCCCTTGGCCCCATTTACCTACCACTTTCTTGTTTTTCAGGGAAAGGGCCCCGTTGGACTTCACAATCACAGTACAGAGCTTTACATCTTCTGGGTGGGTGCACTTCTCCTGGGGGGGAGGGGGCGTGGGAGGTATGAGCACAGCATACATGGTGACTGGGTGTGCAAAGTGAACACGGCGCACTGTGGAGGCAGAGAGTCTGAGTTTTAAGATTTAATTATCTCTCAAGATAGCTACCCCTGGCAGCTAGTGCATTAAAAAAAATGGTTTTATACTCAGGAACTACCTTAATATTAGCAAGAATGGCATCTTAAAAGAGCAAGTAATTAAGATATATAAAACACTACAGCATTATATATTTAATATACATTATTTAATAGTAAAAGAGGCAAAAGGGAAATATTAATAGCATCATAAATAACACTTGTGACACTTTCACTTTTTTTTCCCATTAAAAGCCAATGGTAATCCCATAAGCAGAGCATGTAGATGCAGGCTGCTGCCACCTCATCTCCTTCACTCATCTTAGAATATCTCACTTCTTAGAAAGGAATATCACTCTTAGTAGAATATCTCACTTCTTAGAATATAATATAACTCTTAGAATATCTCACATTGTGGAATAGGATATCTCATTCTTGTTAGTAGAATATCTCACTTCTTAGAATAGATTATCACCCTTCTTAGTAGAATATCTCGCTTCTTACAATAAGATATCACTCTTCTTAGAAGAATATCTCACCTCTTAGAATAAAATATCACTCTTCTTAGAAGAGTATCTCACACTGTAGAATAGGATATCTCGTTCCTGTTAGTAGAATATCTCACTTCTTAGAATATCTCACTCTTCTTAGTGGATTAGAATTTCTTAGAATAGAATACCCCACTTCTTCCCCCTTTGTTCTGTGATTTTGTGTCACAATTAGCCAAACACCAGGGCAGAGATCACCTTTGACTAACTCTAAGTGCTTCTGTAATTGTGCTGCTGAGCTACATGCCTAAAAGCATGACAATAATACAGCCATTCCTACTCTGAAATGCAGACTGCCCTTTCTTTGAGGACGATTTCAAGGATTTGCTCTTTTAATGCATTTCTAGACCAGGGAGGCATCCAAATGAGTGTTGAATAACGTGACTGCTGGGATTCGAAGGATTTTTGTAAACAGAAGTTCCTCCTGCACACCTGTTCCAACTGACTTTCCTGAAGAACCTTAAAGACGGAAGGAGCAGGAGAAGCACCTCACCTTTCCGGCGTTTTCCTCGTCGGTCACATGGCAACTGCGCTTGGTGTTGACGCGCTTGCGTCGCTTGCGTAGCACCACATAGATCTGCACATAGACCAGCAGAGTGATGATGAAGGGCACGTAGAAGGAGACGATGGAGGAGTAGACCACAAAGGCGGGATTGGCGATCACGCACTGGGCCTCGTCACGAGTGGCTGGAAAGTACAGGTCAGGCATCATTAGGGTAACTATCCAATAAGCACATTCTTACAAGATAACAACACAACATATAGAAGTGAGGTGAACATAGAGCTCCTGCAACTCAACAAGCAGAACTTTGTTTTGACAATGCAATGGTTGTGGGTTTGAATCCCAAACAGCACAAATAAATCATAACCCTTCTTTCTTCTCTGAGTTGCTGTGGATAAATGTCAGATCAACATTCAAAATGTCACACAAAGCATAACAAATATTGGTGTATGTATACTATATAAAGTGATGTACAAAAGTCTTAGCCAGGCAAGGAAATCTGGAGCTATTTCAAACAACCCACCTTATGGATGAGGGGTGAGGGGGGTGTTGGCTAACGCTTGGCTGATATCACAGTAACACCATGTACATATATATTGCCGACTGGGGTGGGGGAAACTTGCTCCAGGGCTAGAGAGTGGTGGTAAATTTGGGGTGAGGTTGCAGAGGTAAAAGTTCTTGCCGGCTAATTTTATCACCGCTGAATAGCAGAGCGACAGTTTTCCAGGACATTGCACATCGTTTGCAGGTGTCAGGGAGCTACTGTCCATTTATGGAAAAGTCTGCTATTTCTCTGTGTAGTAAGTGTATATTTGCTCAGAAAATAACATAATTTAACATTAGAAAGATATATATGAAAACGAACAGTAGCAATAAAAATGTCAATTTCTTCTGTTCCACAAAGATATCTGGTTGACAGCCTAGTAGAACACTGCTCTGGTTCCTTACCTCAGAGATGCCCCAGCCGTAAAATGAATCTGTTAATTTTCACCAATTAGCTCATTTAATTACTTGACTTAATTAGTTAGTTTGAGGCATTGAGCAGTCAAACATGGTATGATAGTGCTCAGGTCAACAAATACAGGGGTGCATTGGATGGTTGCTGTGAACACTGGGGTGGCGTGAGGTAACGAGGCTGTGAGATAGCTAACTTGACACACTTTGGCAGACATTACATCATGGTTTTACACCAACATCAAGATCATTTAAACATCATTTTCTTCCACCGCCTGAGACTTTTGCACAGTATTTACATGATATTTTAATGCATATGTACCTTCCATCCATCTCACATACAGTACCAGCAGTACAAGGTCACAGCCTGGAGTCTCAGGAAATTTAGAGATGGTACATCACCTAACAGCGTGTCTTTGAACTATGGGATGGAATCTTTACAAGCACAGAGAGCACACTCACGCCGGAGACGTGAGCACGCAGGACTGCCAGCTGAACCATTATGCCACTCAAACTATTAACGTGGGTTTAAATGACATCGTCCTGCTGTATCTTTTTGTAAGACCGCGATACCTGAAAGCTGTGTAAAGGTACATATGTACGGCTGATTACCGAAAACACGCAATTAGCTACTTACTGAAAAGATTGGCACCACTGCACTATACTCTTACGGAATAAAATATAGGGATTGATTTCTTTAGCGAAAGATGGATTCAGGGCTAGACGTGGCCCTGATAACAGAAACAATTGTTTCTGATAGGTTGGGGAGGGGGGGTTGACTGTAAAAATAACCACTGCCAATGCTTTGTTGCCAGGTGTCAAAGTGTTTGACTTTCGTAGCTACAGAAATTGCACCTGCAAGGGAATAATTGATTTTTGTAGGTAAGGGTAAACGGAGGAGGTCGGTGGGGGGGGGTTACTGAAGGCAGAAAAAAAAATAAAATACAGAAAAAGCAGATGGTAGGTAAGAATAAACCTTGGACGTTTTCACCATGTGGCAGTCGAAGCTTTGCGTTACCTGTGTTGTTCAGGCCGAACAATAGGGGGCAGGATATCGCGAAAGACAGGACCCAAACCACGGAGATCATCACCGTGACTCGCCTCTTGGAGCTGTACCGCGTGTTGTACAATATCGGCATGGCGACGGCCGTGTACCTGAGAGGGAGATTGAGAGGAAAATGGGGGAGAAGCAGGATCATTTGAGTTGCTGCTGTCAAAAAAACAAGCAACTTTCGAAAAGATCGTCCATCGAGAGTGTTGGGGAGCGTAACTTCATTTTATCGTCTGTTACCTTGCATAATTATTTACTGGTTTGAGCCAAAGGGCAGAATTATCACATTGGTTATACCTCTGCCTCATCTGAGAGTAGATTACTTCAGCACGGCTGAATAAAAACATGGATCATACAATAACTGTTTAATTCCCAAGTGGTAAATTTCTACTGGACACTTTCTGATTGCACTTCGGGTGAATTTACTTGAATTAATAACCATGTGTGGAAATGGATACGATGAAGCATTATTAGATGGAGCCATTGCCCTGGAGTTCGAAGGTCCAGGTAAGATGGTAAGTAAAGCTACAATTAACGAGGGAACAGAAGTAATATGTTAATTAAACAGGTGCAAAAAAATCTTTGCAATCTTGTAAACCAGTGGTTCCCAAAGTAGGGGTCGCGACCCTCTGAGGGGTCGTGAGACATTGAGGGGGGGGGGTCGCGAGATGATTTCCAAGAAATCAAATAATTTTCAAAAAATTATTAGAAATAACATTTTATCAACATTTTATATTAACATTTCATCCATAACTAACAAAAGATAAAAACTAGTAGTTAATAGTTACATTTTAAAAAAACATGCAAATTAAAAAGCCATCAGCCTTTCAAATTTCTTTCAGTTTGATCGCGACCCCTGAGGTGATTACGACAGATTAACGACACATCAATAGCGTCAGTTGCAGCAGAATTTCACCATGTTAAACATTCCGACGTGTGCACGTAACGTGTAGGTAATTTTCATCGCTTTATGCTTAGGATATTATTTTTGTTGAAATGAAACGAATGAGTAAATAACAATTTTTTAAAAAGTTATATGGTTGTTAGAGTGTTGTGTTCTTTTGTGTTGTCATGCTCTTGTTTGGATAGGATATTTTGTTGAAATTAAACAAACGAGTAAATTACTATTAAAAAAAATTATATGGTTGTGTTCTTTTGTGTTGTCATGCTCATGTTTGGATAGGCCTATTGCCGCATGTGCACCGTAGCGCGCAACATTTGTATATTTTAACCACTTCCGAGGATAGTGGGGGTCACGAGTCACTGGCACGGTTATTTTGGGGGTCGTGAGCTGAAAAGTTTGGGAACCCCTGTTGTAAACGACCGCGAATAGTCCATAAATGAGCAATGTAACAGCGTCAGTTGTGATTGTTTGTGAAATTCACAGCATAACACAGAGAGATGAAATGTTCCACTGCTAGATTTTTAAGGGGCGCTTGGCAGGGCTGATGGTGCCACCCATGTAGCCACAGGCAGATTATCGCTGTGAAATCCACAGAAAGTCGTGCTGGTTAATAACGATGCGACGTGCTGCCTCCGGCAGAATTAACGGCCGCGGCCGTAGGACTTTGCGGGCCGCAGGCCGCCCACCTGTCGATGCTGATGGCGCAGAGGTTGAGGATGCTCGCCGTGCACATCATCACGTCCAGGGTGACGAAGATGTCGCAGTGTATCTTGCTGAATCGCCACTCTCCAACCACCTGGAAAAACAGGCAGTGGCGTGGGATGGGATTTAGTTAGTGGTGCACAGAACTTTGAATGTGCAGATGGCAGCATTATTTCAATGGTAGCATAAAGTTGGAAGGCTGGAGGAATTTATGGAAAGTTATGTTCAGTCTGCAAAAAATGTTTCAGGACCTGCAATGCGTGGCCCTTCTGAGACCTGGTATATCCCATTAACAGTATTGATTTGTATCATATTTCAAAAGTAAATTATGCTTTTATGACCTGTGCAAAAAACGTACAAAAGGTGGCAGACTGGTGCATCAAAATAATTACTTGCCAATTGTGGAATGAAATGTACTCTTATACATTTAGATGAACGCATACAGGACTGTTCCGCATAAATTGTGAAAATTCTAGCTTTTGCACTCGTGCACAGAAGAATACTTTCTAAACTCTCGGCACTAATATTAACGATTTTACAGAAAACAAACCTTGTCGAGAACCAAATTCTGTCAATCAACCATAATGCATTTTTTTAAATGTAAATATAAATCAGTCCAAATAAGTGGGGAAAGTATTTGCAATGCTAGTTACGAGCAATTTGAACAAACTATGTATTGAAAAAGTGTAGCTGATTGGCAGGCAAAGGATGGCAGGAGAGTGGCATGCTGGGAGAAAATGAGGCAAGGAATAGGCAAAAAAAGCCGGCTTGACCTTTATACTTGACAGGGATTACAGATATTTACTCCTAGATAAGCCAATTCGCACAGGGTACTTGCATATAGGTAAGTAAGTTCAATTAATTTTTCTTTCACGACTCAAGGCGATATTTTATAAAAATATGAGTTTCATATTATATATATATATACAGTATATATATATTTTTTAAAGCTGCATGGTTTATAGTGATTAATGCACTGATTAGACGCAATGAAAGCCTATAAGCCAGTGTTCCTTGGGGACCCACGGACAGTCCACATTTTTGCTCCCTCCCAGGAGAATGGGGTTAGGAAACACTGCTCTATGGGACATCAGTACGGATTGACGTTTGACCTGCAGGGCATTTAGTTTTGACCCGGCAGTTTTCCATGAAGAGGCAGGAGGGACCTTATGATCACACATGAGTTACTTAGCAAGCCAGAAGCTTATCTTAAGCCAGTCGCTGAAAATGCATGTGACGGCTGAGAGTGAGATGAATGCAAAACAATCATGTTTTAATTTTATAATAGTATAAAAATGCCTCAGGGCGGCGCAGCGGTTAGCACTGTTGCTTCACGCTTCTGGGACCAGGCGTAGGGTCTCCAACATGGTTCCATGTGTGTGGTGTTTCCATGTTCTCCCCGCGTCATCGTGGGTTTTCCTCTGAGTACTCCGGCTTCCCCAACAGTCCAAAAACATGCTGAGGTGATTTGGAGTCTCCAAACTGTCTCTCAGTGTACATGTGTGGGAGTGTCCTCTGATTGGTTACCACCCTCTCTTGGGTTGTTCCCTGTAGCATCCAGAATAAGCTCCAGACCACCCCTCCCACCCCCTCCCATGAGCCTGAATAGGACACAGTACAGTAGATGGATGGTTGGATGGATAATAATGACTCTTAAACATATTTGTAGTGACAAATAATGGGGTGTTCGCTTTGTGTGGAAAAGAAAGAAAGGATTAAGCTGGAAATAGTTATGACTGATACAGCTAAGAGCCTGAGTCTGTATGTTGGACAGGGGAATGTGTGAGATACTTTAATGTATAAGGGGAATGGAGGCTACATGTAGTGTCCATAGTAAGTTATGGTTTAGAAATTGCTCTGTCACAGCATTTGTGATGTGTGGCATCTAACGAAAATGAACTTGCTAGCTGCAGAACTAGCTGGTATTTACATTTCAATACTGACATCATTTTGGCTTCAGGTGGAGAGGAATTCTGTTCAAGTGCCAACTGAGGACAAGTGGATGGATGGATGGATGGATGGATGGGTGAGTGGGTGGATGGATGGATGGATGGATGTGCGATGTCACTGAAAGAACCATGGAACAGCAAGGGCTGGTTTTCAAGAGATTGTACCATTAAGAAGTTCCGACCATGTGGAAGGACATTGACGGGCAAATAATCAACGATGGAAGACGATGGCGTCTCTACATTAGGGGCCGGTAGGGCCAGGCCCCACCAGATGTCGCTGTTGAGCACTGCACAGCATGATCAGTAATTCAGTCCAACAATATATATTTTTCTTCACAGCTAACTAATATTGTGGTGCATTTATTACATATGACAATGGTAGCACTGTCTTGCATTCCAAATGTCTTGCTATATCTGTTGCTCCTAACAGTCTGCCTTTGGTGCCCGGCCGGTCAGCGTTTGTTTAAGTAAGTGAGCAGCTGAGAAAGCCTTCGGACCAGACGCCGTCTCAACAAAAATTTCAGAAGCCACGGAAAAAGTATCAACGTTTTCACCAATAACGGCAACATATTTGGAAAACAACTGGAAGAGATCGGCTGATATTCCAATACCAGAGAACGGAGACACAACAGAGTGCACAAACCATTTTGTGATTTCCATCATGTTGAAGATGATTCAGTGCAGAATAGAGCCCTACATGGAAAGTGAATTCCCTTACGTATGAAACGCTGGATTTGGGAAAGGCCAAAAGTAACCAGATAAAGAATCAAGAAGGAGATCAACATATGCTTTCTTACTTACAAGGCCTTAGGTTGTCTTGACTATGTGTGACACTATCAGCGAAACGGCAATACCAGAGTATTAACTGTCAAGTGTGTCACAGTTTTATGTCGAGATGCGCCGAAGGCAAATCCCACACGCTTGTCCGAAAACATTGATTCTCCTTCTGGTTTTGTCACGCTGGAATATCTACCACCTTGTGTGGACCACATCGTGCTCTGAACTGCTGAGCAATTCATAAATCATTGGAGAATTAGCTCAGTTGCAATCTGAATGATAGGATGTTTGCTGAGGCGGAGGCGTCTTCTGCATAAAAGCCTTTGTCGATTCAGTACTGAAGGCCATGTTATGGCTTGCACTGCAGAAAATGCATCATGTATCACCGCCTCCTACTCCTCCTTCTCCTCCTACTCCTCCTTCTCCTAATGTGTAGTTTGGGTTTCAACTGTTCCAGCCTCTGTCAACAGCAACAGATGGTCGGGCCCAATAAATTTCCCAATTGATGCAATTAGCTGATTAAGGTCTGAAATGCCATCAGGAGAAAGAATCCTACTGGCTTATCATGTTGGTGGACCTTGAAAGCTGGGGATTTTCAGAGAGGAAGACAGGTCCCCTACAGCACTTTCTGAAACTTTCCACTTATTAATCTAATTTTGAAAATTCCTTTTGCAAATTATGCACAATACACTACTGGGCAGTGGGCACATACTCACACTTGAATATTATTGGAAATGTAGAGACTGAATCACAGTAAACTGCAAGTGTTTGGAGTGTGTGGGGAAATCGCAGTTATTGGAGAAACCAGCATGCAAACCTAGGAAGAACATGCAAATCACCGATTGGTATCATATGGAGGACAAAACGTGACATAATCCTAAATAATAAATAGAAAAATAAATGTATTTTTTATTCCAGGGATTTATACAAAAATACATTTCATTTTTTATTCAAAGATCTATTTAATTATATTTTTTACTAGGTCAATAGTGCTTTAGAAAAGGGGTCGGGGCTGCCCACTTCAATTACATACAGAGGAATTCAAACAAATCTTTGGAATAAAAAAACATCTATAAAATAAAATTTGGTTTAAAAAAATACAATAAAAAAATATTTGGAACAAAAAAATACATTTATTTTTCTATAAATCTTTGGGGAAAAAAGACTAAATAAATTAATTTTTCTATTGAAACGTATTATTTATTTATGATTATATCTTGTTTTGTTTCGGCCTCCATATTATCACACCCATCTCTTTGGAGGGAAACAACATTTTTTTTTACATTTTTCCTGTGAGACGAGACGAGAATAAGTAGTTGGAATATGGACTATTGGATTGTAATATTTAGTAATAGTAAAACCGTTTGAACTATTATAATTGTACTTATTCCTTTTTTTAGGTACGACAGATAACTTTTTTCTTGGGCTTCACCAGATTATCAGGTACTCTTATTAACAGATGTTTACCAATTCCATTCAGTACTCATATGAGTTCTATTTAATATAAGTAGTATGAATACTAACCAAGTACTGTTACCTCAGTAAATATGCAGCATATATAGATGAATAGATGATGTAAAGCAGAAGGTTCTCCAAGGGTTAAGTGATTAGTGTTTTCTGGCTCCTGCATTAATACCACATTAATCTTGTTTGGTTTAATTAACAGTCGCCACTTCCAGATACTGGTGGCAGTGTCAGCTGTACTTTACTCATGGGCCTCCACGTTTAAAATGCCACATTGAAATAATGATTGATGTCCCATGATTTCTGTATAATTAGGTCTGTTTGAATTATCACAGGGTGCCGAGGACGCACGCCTAGTAATGAGCCGGGTTTGCGGTTTCATAACACGGTTCCGTTTACAACGATTGTAATGTTTTTATGGATTCCTCCATCTGCCTTTGAAGGCCCTGTGAAGCTGCCCTGCTGAGTTAGGTGCCCCCCCCCAGAATCGTGGCCTTCATTAAATTGCGTTTCCATGTTCTCACTTCCACTCTCGCCTGGACGACCTGAATGCAGCATCGATGCACAGAGGCGCCGTCTTTATTCTCCTTTTGCGGTTGTTATTAAGGTCAGGAATATAAAAAAGCGTCTCACCTTGGTCGTCGCTTACGTTCTATGTTACGCCAAAGAATAATTGCAGATATGAGCACAGTTTTATAGCTGTTTCCTGTTTAGAGGAGTGGCAAAGTGGTAAAAATACCAGGGTAAATTGGCATGGGTAATTTGCCGTTTGTGAGCGTGTGCCCTACAATAGACTGGAACGTGCACTCTGTGTCCTGGAATAAACTCCAGACTCCCTTCCACCCACTACTGGATTAATATTATAGAAAAGGGACTAGGAATTATTGCACTTGCATCATTAAAAAATTATAATGTACCATTCGTTTCATCTGACTGATTATCAGAAAACATTATCCGAAGTGTACCAGCTGCCAGGACTGAGACAAAAAGGTTTACTTTGAAAATCCGCACCCAGAGAGTGCAGGTTTTGGTCATTTTCCAGGTTTGAAAGTAATTGTGCAGCTTGTACAATTCATCAAGCTTTCTTCTGACCTTGTCTGTAGAACAGTGGGACCAATGTAATCTAAAACCACTCTGGCTTGAAAAAACAAGGTTTCTTCTTTGTGCAGTGGGATGATGTCACCAGTGTTGCCATTAACCAAATTTCTGACCCGTGACTGGTTTGACGGACCTCTCTGGACGGTACCTCTGCCCTGACAATCTGTTCAGCACAGGTACTGCTCCGCTTCAGTATTGTGAGTCACTTTCTGTTTTAAACTATTCCGTCCTGGTTTTCTGGTTCTGAGTCTGATCTGACGTACTCTGACTAAGTGAGAGCCTCAGTTAAATTAAATTGGAGGCCACCAGATCGGCTCACTGGGTAGAACTATAAGCCTCATAGCTTCAAGGTTGTGGGTTCAGATCCCAATGCAGCATGTGTAGAGTTTGCATGTTCTCCCTGGGTCACGTGGGGTTCCTCTAGGTGCTCCAGTTGCCTTTGTCCAAAGACATGCAGATAAGCTAACTAGCATCTGGAAAATACCCAGAGAGTGTTAGTGTGTGCATGTATTCCCCTTGCGATGAGCTGGTACCCCATCCAGGGTGTACCTCAGTCTAGTGCCTGGTCCTCCCTGGGACTGGCTCCAGTTGCCCCCCCCCCCCCCCCCAATCTTATGGGAGTTTTACTTACACAAAAAATGTTGAGGGGCAGATGGAAAAATGATTCGTTTGGTGAGATAACCAATCAGATTGTAGAGGAGGTGGGTCTAACCAACTAGTGGAGGTGTGACCAACCAATCAGATTTCATGGTCCTGCCTTCTGTAGTTACTTGAACCCGCTTCCTGTACAATCCGATTGGTTATCTCTCTGAGCCAATCATATTTTCTTCTGCCCTCAGAACATTTTTGCGTAAGTAAAGCTCCCACAAGCCCTCCCCAATACTGATGATAAGCGATTAAAAGATGGTTAGTAAAACGAATAGAGCTGTGAAGGTCATTAAGTGTTTATTTCCTTTGTCGCACTTGTTAGCTTATCTGTTAGAGGTCTGTGTAAGGTATGTATGTTCTTGTAATATCTTTTTTCTATTTATATTGACGAGGTTGAACTTGCTGAACCAGGCCGGTGCAACTAATTGTGGTTCTTGTTTGAACAGCAAGTCTGCCTTCTGCCTGATAGTTCCCAGGTAAAAGCCGCACACGTCCAGAAACCTTGTTCAGAAACCTTGACTGTCGGAATTGTGAGGCATTTAAAACATGGTTGTATTGGTACGTGGGTCGGCTGCAGAAACATGGCATGTCACATTAATTGTGTATCTTTCACTCTGTCTGGCGGCACTAAGCTTTACGATTATTCTGCTTAATTTGTGTTATCCAGTGTACTTTCTCCTCTTAATTACACAATCAATTACTAACAATTACTAAAATGAACAAGCATGAAAACTTTAAGACATTTAATATCTGAGCACGGGAATCAATCAGTTTGATTTTGCCTTGATGACACTGAGACATACTGAAGTCTGTAGGTAACTGGTGTCACTTCCAGTTTCAGTTTAAGGCTCGAGCCAAAACACATATCTCTGATTTCACAGATGAGACTGGAAGGTTGCATAGTTTTCAAGACTGTTTCCATCTTGCCGGATTACATATTTTATCTTAAACCAATTCCCCAAAACACTCCCATTATGTATTATTCATCTGATGGTAAACTGAATATTCTTTCTCAAGCAGCTAATTAAGGCTAAAACTCCAGTATGCAGTATTATTAAAGTTTCATATATCCATAAAAACCTTGATTGCTATTGGCTCACATCCCTTTATAATTACCATTGTCTTGCAGTCCAATAAGTCTAACGAAATGTTAATGTAATGTCAATTATTTTAAAGCATATAGCTGCATTGCGGTATTCTTTGTTTTTCTCTGTTTTATTCAAATTAAACTGCCTCTATACACACTTGGCCATACATGAGTCAGATATTCAACAAAAGTAAATTACTGGAAAGATGGAGCTCCGCTACATTTAGATGTTGTATCTTGGCCAGATGGCACCAGGCGCTCCTGCTGGATAGATGGTTATGGAAATGGGTGGATGGAAAGATGGAGAGAGGCGCATGAGCATTAGGCTTCATGGAAGATGCTCACCTCCAGATAGACCACCCAGGGCATGACCAGCGTGGCCACCAGCAGGTCGGCCACGGCCAGGCTGACGATCAGGTAGTTGGTGGTGGTCTGCAGGGCCTTTTCCCTGGAGACCGCCATGCACACCAGCACATTGCCGAAGACGATGACGAAGATGAGGAGTGTGAGCAGCATGGCGTAGTAGTTGTAGGGGTGCTTCCGTTCGCAGGCGGTACTGTTGCTGAGGCCCTCGCTGCTGTTGGCATTGTAGCTCTCATTGTAGTTGTACTCTGTGACAAAATCCATGACCGGTGAAGGGCTGAGGCTTGGGATGGAACCTGCAAACCATGAAACAGAACAATTAGCTTCACATCATGGGCTATGCTGTTTTCCTCAAACCAGTCCTATGTGAGACCTTTCAGTATTTCAAAGTAAGGGAAATTTCTATATTTTCCCCCTGGGATCAATAAAATTTATATCATGTTGCATCATCTAATGAAATACACGAGATACATATTTGTTTTTTCATTGTAACCTTGTAGTCAAGCAATTTGATATTTGATTCTAAACTTTGAAAGTACATTCTAGATAAGGGGTGGGGAGCCTGATCCATGGAGAGCCGGTGTGGGTGCAGGTTTTTGGGATGGCCTCTCAATCAGCCAATAACAGTGGGTCCCCAGGACTGGAGTTGAGAACCCCTGCTTTATTATTGGCTGATGGAGAGGCCATCCCAAGACCCTGCACCCACACCGGCCCTCCATGGAACAGGTTCCCCACCCCTGGACTAGATCATGTGCATCAATTTACACGCATGTAAGTGACCTTCTCACCAATATTCTGGTTTATCTTTCCGCAGATGTTGATATGAATTAATCTGTCATATATAAGAATGTGACTCCAGCTCTATTTTATTTTAGTGTCTGGACGGGTCCCTGCATTGTGCTGTTCTGTCCATTGCTTCCTCATTTGACCAGCAGGTGTCACTAGCCATCCCATTATTATCTCTGGGTTTTGCACCTTTCACTATCCATAGTGTTTCCCCATTTCCCCAGGCCGCCCCATGGTCATTCTGGGTATTTGTATCCTTGGAATCTGTCAACCCTATGTGAATTAAGTTTCTTTGTCGTCAGTGTCTTGGTCCTTAGTCTACCCTGTCTTTACCTAGTTCATATCTGCCTCCTGTTTTTCTTGCATCTTCTAGTATCTGAGTTCCCAGTGCTTGTGTGGTTGTGAAGACTGTTTAAATACTTACTTGTTACTTATGTGTGTATATTTTCCTGCCTAGTCTGTGTTCCTTTGTCAGCTATTGAATGTGTGTGTGTGTTTGGTGATAGTTTTCCCCACAGCTTAAGTTCTAGCCTGTTAAGTTCTTATTTTATTGACCTGCTTTTGTTATATCTCTAATGGTCCCTTTTGTTTATGGGCTTTAATTCTAAGTTCTCCATACATGTAAGCTGCAAGTGGATCGTCATTCCTTCATGGAGCGACAATTAGTTTTGGAAACAGCTTGGATGGATATAAGCAAGCCACACAATGCTACATACTTTATCAGAAACATACTGTACAGTAATGGTGCAAGCAGCACCTTCTGGGGGTTAACAAACTCAAAGGCATAAACCCGGCAGTCTGCTTGCTTTGCTCAAATAACAGATAGCAGCTTCAGCCCATTGTGTTTAAAGTTCCAACCTTTCTTTCCATGGATTGTCATTACTGGCTTCCATCGCTTAAAGTGCATTGAATTCTCTGTCAAATTGGCAGACAGTATTTGCTGTATTGATTTTGAAATTTACGGAGCAAACAGGCGCGATTTCTATCATGCAGACATTACCACTTAGAATGAGAGATGTCAGGCCGTGCAATCATCTTCATTGCCAGATAAAGCTCTCAGGTCAATAGTAAATTTGTTTGAAATATTTGTGAACACACAAAACCTCCACTAAATGGGTATTGCCCTTCCAAACCTCTAATTGCCCTTTCTACACCAAACTCCCTGTTTGCCGTCTCACTGCACAATGAGGATCAGAATTAGGCTCCAAATAATAATCCTAATCATAATCCCTGCATTTTAATTTGATATAATTACTTATTGGTTAATTGTCACAATCAAACATTTTAAATGGGAAGTTTATTCTTCCATCCATCTATTCTCAATGAGCCCTTATCAAGTTGAGGTCACAGCAATGCATCCTGGGAAATGCAGGGCCTACGGAAACATACACACACACACAGCAAGGATAAGTCAGAGAGCATCAGTGCTTTGGACTAAGGATACCTATGCAAAATGGTGCAAATGAATCTGTGCTAGTTAGGGCTCTGCAAGTCACAGTGATTTAAAATGCAACAGGAAATGCAATGCTATAAATTTATAATGAACATTTTGCAGCTCAGTAGTTAAGGATAAATATTGGAGAGTTTAAATTGGTCTTTAATTTTTCAAATTACAGGCAAAATCCAATTCAGAATCATTGCATAACAAATCTCATTTGTATATTTAATTGCTTTCGTTAATAGCCACTCATTGTTCATTAATAGATTAAAATTCAGGTCTTTGATGTAGACGATTAATCGTTTATGGGTATAAACCTGGGTGGGTGTGCAAAACTACTGACGTGTAAATAGTAGTGAGGCCACCAGGAGAGTTTCTAGCTATTAAAAGAGCCAGAGACTAAGTCAGGTTTACCTGGGGTTTGACTTTCACTTTTTTTGAAGAAAGACTGGCATCAGGGGTAAAATACTCAGGGCAGGCTTAAAATACTCGGGGCTATAGCCCCAAGTAATCGGACCTAACAATGCCGGGGAGGGGGGGGGTCATTAAGTATCACTATGATCCAAAGGGGGGCCTTAAAAAGAAGGATGTATGATTAAATAAATGTGGCTTCATTGCACCATTGAAAGTAGCAAGATCTGAGCCAGTTACTGAACTCTGAATGTACAGAGTCTGGTGATGATAACATTAAGGGCATTAAATGTTACTGGATTAGCTTTGACAAGAACAGCAATAGCAACAGAACTGTCATCCTTAAAACCAGCCTCTCGTCGGTGTAAATTATCCATCATCAAAAGAATTTGTAGCCACTTAAAATGTTATGTTATTAATGGAGGCAGTGAGTGTTTAGAACACAAAGGTCAACTGCGTTAATTTACACTAATGCTCTTCTCAAGATTAATTCATTAAGTCGGAGAAACATGATCAGAGATGGTTACTCTTACAGTGGGGTATAAAAACAAGTTATGGAAATGTTTCTGCTGAAGAAGCAGTTAGTTATAGCAGTTTTTCTCAAACCAGTCCTCAGGGATCCCCAGACATTCCGTGTATTTACCCTCTCCCAATTCCCTGGGAGTCGGGGGGGGGTCGCAAAAACTGGGACCGTCTTAGAGTCTAGAGAAAAACTGAGTTATAAAACAAGGGCGGATGACTGAAGTCAAGAATAGTCCCAAGATGTGCTGGTAATGAGTGCCACTGATGAAAAGGTTTCGATAATGAATCACCACACCTGCTTTTTTGAAGGTTACTATATTAGTGATTGAGATCATTCTAGAATCTACTATTTGTTTCTGTTGCTGGCTAAATTGTATCCTCCCCCAAAAAACTTTAGTTGTTATATGTGTTCATTCGTTCAGAAAGCAGCGATATGGCATTTAACTAGGGTGGCCATATGTTCTCTGTTTCCCAGACATGTCCTCTTTTTTTGGGACCTAAAAATGCCTGAAATTTCTGGGATTTCGATTTGTTTCTTGTTTGTTTCCTTTGCTTTCTAGTCAGAATATTTTCTGTGTGCCTATTTGCATTGCGTTGACGCCTCTCTTTGCGTCCTGCCCCCGGTGCAAAAGTTGGTCACCCTAGTTCAACAGTAGGCATGTAACGATGAATCGCGAATCGGTTAAAAATCGATGTGAATGTATGACGATTTAAACCGGCTGATGTAGAAAATGAATCGCTATACTTTAGGAATACTTCACAGTACTTTAACAGAAAAACTGGTGTGATATTACATTTGATTTCACGACGTGAGTTCCACGTCAGATGTCACTGTGTATGCATCAGTTTTTGGTAACATACACAAATAGCAAAGGAACATGCTTCAGCATGTCCACCGGTGTTCTGACGAGTTGAGCTACCTATCAAGACTTACTATCGAACCTTTCTGCGCATGTGCAGTTCCTCCGTTTTAGGATTACGGTTAGGTTTTAGGGGTTAGGGTTATGGTTAAGGTAAGGGTTTTAGGGGTTTTTGGGGGGTTAGGGTTAGGGTAAGGGTTAGGGCTATCGATTAGCACTGCGGTAGCCTAACTTGACAAAGTAGCTCAACTCGACAGAAGACCGGCACCACAGTGAGCTGAGCGAAGATTATTAAAAGGGCAAAACACGCTGAAAAGCTGCACATGCAAGCCTTAGTTTATTTATTTGAAGATTTTTTTTATTCACTTATTTTGATTTGGGATTTTTTTAAAACAGTATTTTTTTCAATTTCAGTTGCACTGTTAAGAAGAGGACACATTTTGGATAGTTTAGAAAGATAAAGGAATATTTTTGAATAAATTTGTCTGCAGCTCATTCTGCTAAAAAATCGTGAGAAAATCGTATCGTGAGCTCAGAATCATGAATTGTATGAAGTTGAGAGTTGAGTGTATCCTTACATCCTTACTGGTCAACAGCATTATAAAATTTGCCCGACATTCTACTTCAAAGTTGCATTTGTTCTTTTGTTTTCAAGTAACATGCAGATGCTCTACAGTACATGACTGATAAATAATGTTAAGCAATTCCTTAAGCTAGAGTTCACAAAACAATTTGCACTTGGGAATAACTTTCTGCTTTCAGTTACACTTCTGCTTTTGAAACTCTGAGACTATTTCCTTTTTAATAAACATCTTATATTTTCAGTTAATGCAGGAAATCATGAGCCTCATGCTTTGACAATATCCCAAGCTGACAGAAATGAGCAGGAAATACTCGAGTCAATCATAGACCCCAATGGACTCTGGCTTTGCACCTTCAGGTTTTTTCTGAAGATTGTTTTGTTCATTTGCCATTATTGCTCTGATGTTATTATTGCTCATTTGGCGATCTTCACGTCCTCACGACTCCAAGAATGCAAATGTCCATCTTTACCCTCAGCAAAGCGCGTCAGTAACAGCAGAGCCACCTCTCTCGTAGCCAGTCTGCGGAGATGGACCTTCGGCTCCATGCGGCAAAGTCGAACGCCATAGTTTTGAAGGACGTAATATGTAATACGCCGTAGCAGGGCCCCCATTTCATTGGGTGGCCTTTTTAACATTGGTGCCCGAATTGCGGTTTAGCAAGTAATCCTACAGAATCACCTGTAGTATCCTGAGCT